TAAAGGTTTATGTAAAGACGTGATAAATTATTATAGAAATTGTAAGGGCTGTAGCAAAAAAAACCAAAAATTTAGATCATAAAATATTATTTTAAGATTATGAAAATCAGCCATTTTGCTAAGGCCTTAAAAAATAGGTATGCGTACTACAATGTTTTTTATTTACGTATAATTACATATTTTTGTGTAAAATTATTGTCAACTATTTTTATTTGCATGTATAACGATCACTACTACTTAAATATTAAATGTGTTACGTTTAAGTTTGAACTGTTGGAAATATTTTATATTTTATTTAAAGGTTTATGTAAAGATGTGATAAATTATTATAGAAATTGTAAGGGCTGTAGCAAAAAAAAACAAAAATTTAGATCATAAAATATAAAATATTATTTTAAGATTATGAAAATCAGCCATTTTGCTAAGGCCCTTAAAAAAATAGGTATGCGTACACAAATAACAAGACATTTTTGTCAAATAGTTCATATAGTTAATATAGGTTATTATTTGTATTTTATACTGTGTACAATCTTCATATGTACTTTTTCTGACAGCAAGCCATAAAAAAAATATATTTTTAAAGAACGTATAAATAATGTTACATTTTTTTTTTATCGCACCATACGCTCTTGCCACGATACTGCACCTTCAGCATTAAAATAATTGCACCATTTATTTCTTAGAAGAATAGCAGAATTTGCGTGCCTATTCCCTTCTTGATTATTCAGGTTTATTAAACCATTTGTTGACTCTTCCCGGAAATTACCCGGTCTGATTTCACCTGACATTATATCTTCTTCATCAATAAATGATGGAGGTGTATACATAGCCCTGCCAACAACTTTACTCCGTAACATATTGTGAAGACAGCAAGTTGCCATTATTATCACTTTAGCATCATCTGGATCATATCTCATTGCACTTCGATATATTTGGAATCTGGCTCCAAGAATACCAAAAGCATTTTCTGAGCAACGTCTAGCTCTTGACAATCTAAAGAAATGTATAATACAGTATTACCATCGATCCTTTATCAATAAAATCATAATCAGGAGAATTTTGACATTTAATTTTTAAGATATCTTACCTATAATTGAAAATTCTTCGATGTTTTCTACCAGAGCACTGAGAACCAGGATACGGTATAAGGAGTTTCTTTGTTAAAGGAAAACCTTCATCACCTATTAACACATAAGGAAACATTTCTCTTGTACCAAATAGTGGAGATGGACCCGGAATATGAAGACTATTGCTTTCTAAACAAGTCTTGAGAATACATTTATTCCATACACCCGAATCACTTATTCGTCCATTTATCCCAATATCAACGTATATAAAGCGTAAGTGAGCATCGACAACTGCCATTAAAACAATACTGAAGAAGTCCTTGTAACAATAATAAAGTGATCCTGATCTTAGTGGCGGGTCAATTCTACAGTGTTTCCCGTCAATTGCACCTATACAATTTTCAAACTGCCACAGTTCACCAAAATTTCGTGCAATTTCTTGCCACTCCATTTCAGAAGAAGGAGCTTTTAAATATTCTTCCTTCAATACAGTAACGATAGCTCGACATACTTCTTTTATGATGCCAGATATTGTGCTTTGACCTATTCTAAAAGTTAATGACAAGGATTCCTGTGACTCTCCTAAAAATAAAATACCAACATAAACAAAAGTAATGATAAAAAATATACATATATCCAATAATTTAATTTATTCTAACCTGTAGCCAAATGCCGCAAAGTTAAAGAAAGTCTTTCTGCTGCTGGAATACTTTCTCTCAAATGTGTATTCTTCTTTTCAATGAGTGGAGAAACCTTCTCTAAAAGTTCTTCAAAAGTTTCTGTGTTCATACGTAAACACCTGTAATAAATATTATTAATTGATTACTTTAATATTTATTTTTTAAATGTACATTAAAAAATGTAAACTCTTATGTACACACCTCCTGAATCTGTTGGGATCTTCTAGACTGAGTTCTAAGAAAAGGTTATGATGTAATCCTTTCTCCTTTCTTCTTGCTATCCATCGATGCATTCAAATTCTCTTGTTGGTATTACTTGCAAGGAGCATAATAATTATCACAATCAATTCTTGCTCCTGCAGTTGCCAATATTGATTAATATTTCTTGGCATTTTTTCGATGCTATTTTTCACAGACAGTAGACACAATATGTTAGCGGCCACAATTCTAACAATCGTCAGGGTGCAAACCCATGCAGCGGAATAGCATAACGCGGAACGAGAGTAGAACCAATCACGAGATTCTCTAGAAACACGGAATGCTCGTTATTGGTTCTGCTCTCGTTCCTCGTTACGCTATTCTGCTACATGGGTTTGCACCCTCAGTGTGATTGAATGATTGTAGATCGCCAATCGCCAATCGCAATCTCAATCCAATCGGCAATCGCTAGTGTGATTACGGCTTAAGAGACGTCATAAAATTCTGTAGGACGTCCGAAAAATTTTACTAAAAGGCATCTTTAAGGAGTCTTTAAGGCGCCTTATGTCTGTCTTTTAGTAGTCTTATTACACGTCTGTCAGACGTCATGTTAGATATATTTTAGACATTTTGATGGATGTCTTCCAGACATTTCCTATAATGGTCTATAAGACGTCTTTGAGACATCCTATATTATAATGTCATTGTTCAGACATTTTTTAGATTAATTTTGGACATTACGATTTTTCTAGATTAAATCAGATTATATTGGCAGAGTTTCGATATACACCTCCAGTACTATGAAAATCTAATAAGATTTTCATTTTGTGAATAGCTACGCGCGCAATTAGAAAGCGACACCAAACACCGATAAAACCGGAAATTACGTATCTCATTATTTTCACGCGCGATTACAAACTTATTATTACTCGAATACATGACATATGCTGATTTACGAATTATTATAAAACATTGTCTTATTCTTGTTCTGCAAAATGTCTTAAACAGATATGTCCAAAAGATATCTTAAAAAAGATGTCTTTATAGGATTTGACTAAAAGTCGTCTTCAAGATATTTTTTTGTAAAATCTTATGGCGAATTCGATTGGATGCACTAGTGCGCACTAGTGCGCACTGAGTGCACCTGAGTTCATTTGTTTTCCTTTTCTCTTCAGGAGAAGGGAAAAGGAAAAAAGATGAACTGGTGCAATCACCCTGCACTGGTGCATCCCAATCGAATTCGCCATTAAAGTCGTCCTGGAAGGGACGTCCGAAAGACGTCTTAAAAAGAATTGTCTTTAAAACTTGGCTAAAAGTTATCTTAAAAATATCTTTTTGTAAACGTCTTAAAGACGTCTTTTTAAAGACGTCTTTCGGATTGTCTATTAGACATTCATGTTCACTGGGACAATTCTGCAAAAAAGGGTTATATTATGAAAATCTTTCCTCGTAACCCTGAAAAAAGAGCAAAATGAGCAGCGAATGTAGATCGACTTAAATTTGACGCTATGACTATTTCCGGTTTTTGCTGAAAAATGTCAGCACCAATCAAAATTGGAAACGTTATTTCGCGACTCTGATTAGAGGTAGTGACCCTCTAATTAGTGACCCTCTAATAAGAGTCTGGCCACCTTCTCCCCGGTTTGTGATTGGTCCGACATTTATCATCCATTCCCGCAAATTTCTTTAAATTTATAAACTGTAAAAATTAATAAATTCGTAAAAATTAAAGTAGAATCAATTACAATTTTTATTTTTATTATTATTTAACTTATATTAACATTATTAAATATTTTCTATAAAAACTTTTATGTAAAAAAAACGTTGCAATATGTCTTTCATAAAATAAAAACAACAATTAAGTAAGTATTATAAATATATTGAAAATATAAAAATTAATATATTAAGAATATATAAAATTTATAAAAATATTACAAGATTAAGAAACTTTAATAAAAATTAAATTTAAATACAAATAATACAATTAATGCTTTAAAATTCTTAACAAAAAATACTTAGGTAGCACCAATAGGGAATAAATAAAGTAGTATATTTATGTAGAAAAAAATATTT